CGTGACTGCCACCAACGCCATCGTCGGCAAAAAATGGAAGCCAAAGACACCTTACAAACCGGGTCCGCCTGGCCAAACCATGCGTGAGCAAGCGTCCCATCCCTTCGCGACGTGTTTCGCTCAAGCACTTTCTCTTTGGCCTGACCCCCCTCCTTTGCCATCGTTCGTGCTAACGCATCCACCATAGTCGCCGAACCTCCTGCAGGCCTCGAAGGTTGGCAATTGCTGAACAGGTGGTACCAGATGTGCCACAGAGCAGAGGGAGTTGGTGATCTCAATCTTGCCAACCTGCATTGTTGGTGCGTGGACAAGTGATTATGGATCGACTTGTCTCCGCGCGCCATGATGACTCGATAGGGGCGCAAGGCATCCTCCGACTCCAGTCGCGTTGCTTCGACAACACATCGCCTTCTGACTCTGACCCTTTTTTTTCATTTACATTCATTTCCTCCACCCTTTACTCTCCTTTCCTCCTCCTCGTCGATGGTGACTTACGCAACGCAAGCCGGGGCGTCAATCTGATCGTAGCGCACAAGGTATCCGATCAGCGCATCTGGCGCTTCAAATGGATCAACGAGTACCAGCAGCCGCAACAACCCCCTCACCCTCCCCCCCACTCGTGACTCATCATGTTTCCCCCCGTCAAGACTAGCTAGCAAACGAAGCGAGGCTTCCAAGACAAATGACATACCGTGACATACCGTGACAGTGCTGCAAGCCAAAGACTTTTTTTTTTGGAGGGGGGGGGGCAGTGTTTGCGAGGTAATAAAGCGTGACCTCATGTGGCGACCACACAGTGGACGCTGCAAACGAGTTGCCATTTCCTGCTAGAATGGCGCGCGCGACGTATGCACGAACGGTATTTCGCGCCCCCCTCCCCCCTTCAGCCAGTCTGATCGATTTGGTAGAGTGTCACTCTCTAGTGCTGTCTATTGCACACGCCACAGCGGGCCGTAGAGTGAGCGCCTCGTCCCCGCTTCCTCATCTTGATCTTCTTGCCCCCACTCACCACACCACACCACACCTTCTCATTCCGTCCCAATTCCTCCTGTACTGTACATTTTCATCTTCTCTCCCTGCCCGCAACACTGACCAGCGCCTCATCCAGCGCTCCCCATTTTTGCAGATGAGCCATGACGCCACCCACAAGCAGCAAGCTTCCCGTAACAAATACGCTTCCTCCCCTCTCTTGCCCCTTCGTCGCAGTTGCAGGCGCAGGTGCAGCAGCAGCAGCAGCCGCAGCAACACAAGCATTCAGCGCATCTTCTATGCTCGGCAAGACCAACACCTCTTCTTCTTCTTCTTCTTGATCTTCTCCATCTTCGGCACCCGCCGTCCCCGCCGCCGCTCGCGCTCGTGTCGCGAAATCTTTTCGAAGGTCCAACCAGGCTCGTCTGAGCTCATTCTGCACCGTCAGCGCCTCCACCTCTCTCGCGTCCAGTCCTCCAGCCGTAAGATCTGTCGTGCGGGCCAGGGCCAGATCCGAAATGTGGCGCATGAGGCGGCTTTCGGGCGTACCAGAGTGTACGTCACAAACTCACCTCCGCTGCTCTTGCCCTCCTTGAAGGTAGTGTTGGTGCAAAAGATGACCTTGTCAAAGCTGACTTTTTCATCCTCTTCCCGCACCGCGTCGCACAGCGCCCCAAGCAGCTCCTTGGCGTTGCGTCCATGCGTGCAATTGAATACCAAGCATCTCTTTGCTTCTTCTGCCCCATCTTTCTCTCCTCGCACCTGCACCTCGGCTCGGTCTCGGTGATGCGCCGCCGCTTCGTTCGTGAAGCGAGAGGCTTGGACGAACCATCGCGTGGCTAGCTTCAGACTGTCTGTGGTGTGCGCTCCATCCAGAAAAAAGGTGGGCATGGAGCAGGCTTGCGATGCAGGATCATCACAAATCGAGCTCAAAGGCGCCGGAGGGACGACTTGACACCGTCCAGGCCACGCAGCTCGTTCCACTCCCGCAACTTCCCACTCCTTGGGCGGAGCATCCAGTCGGTCCAGTTGATCAGGCGCAAATGAAAATGTCCAACCCCTCTCTTGCAGCATCGCATCCTGTGCACTCGCTTGGATGAAGAGGCGCACGAGCGCCAGCGCGAGCTGGGCATTGGTGCTCTGATGCAGACCTGGCAGACCCAAGGCGATGGAGCGGACTTGCTGGGGCGCATTTCGAGGCAGCGCTACAAATGACCTGGCCTGCGCGCGTTCCCGGCGGCCAATCATGCATGCGTGTCAGTCTGTGAAAGCCAATGCGGGTGGTTCACGGCGCCACGCTCGCCTCCGCCTCACCTGCACCTCTGCAGCCGTCTCCTCTACCACCTTTGCAGCATCCTCGGGCTGCCAGACCGACACGGCCCTCACGTCCTTCTTGAAGATTCCCGCCTTGTGCCTAGCAATCTCTGGCAAAGTATTACCCAGCAGAGCTGTATGATCCAAACCCAAGCTGGAAATACCGCATGCGATGGGTCGAGGCACGATGTTTGTGCTGTCGTACGTGCCACCTATACCCACCTCGAGGATCGTGGCGCCTACGCCTTCTTGCAGAAAGATGTGCATGGCGAGCAGAGTGAGGTATCGAAAGTAGACCGGACGCAGCGGTGTGGCAGGATGGGCTCTCTGGGAGGCGCATGTACGTGAAGGGGGCCGGATGAGGGGGGCGTGAATTTTGCTTGCAGAGCATGCTCTCTGCTGCGAGTTGGGATGTCGCGCAGCTCACCTGATCATTCTGCCCCAGCTTGTCCCACACTTGCCAAAAGTACTTGGCAAAGAGTTCCTCTTGAATGGGAATACCGTCTATGCGTATGCGCTCCCTCACGTAGACCAGGTGCGGGGAGGTGTACAAGCCGACGCGGGGGCGAGCGGTGGCTTTGCTCGACAGCGGCGCGTGGGCAAGCAAGCTGGAACAGAACGCTGCGGTGGATCCTTTGCCTTTTGTGCCAGTGATGTGGATCACGTTGAGCTTGTTCAGATCTTCCAGCTGAGAGAGAAGAGCGGTGGAATAGAGATGAGCGGGTTGAGCGAGCTGCGCTCTTCCATCCACCTCTTCCACCCGCCTATTCGCGCTTGATCGCACACGCTCCGTGTCCCAGAAGGCCAATGTCAATCAAGCGCATCAACAGCCGCTCGCCAATGTCCTCTCTCAGCCGGACAATGACACCGACTGATGCGAGCGATCTGAGCCTCTGTCCAATCATCTCATCCCTTCCTCCTGCCCCCTGCCCCCCCGCCCACTCACCTCGTACCCCAACCTCTTCCAATACTCTTGCATCTCCGGTATAGCCAACTCGTTCATCTTGCCGCCGCTCTTTCGAATAGCTTCGATGACTGCCGCATTGGATTGCAAAGTGTTGAGTGCGCGTATGGAGGAAGCGTAGGATCTGTCTTGCGCTGCTTGCGTGGACATTGTGCAGGAATTGTAGGCAAAAAGACAAAGTTTGGGCCGCACGATGCGATGGGTGGTGAGGCTGCTTGATGCTGCAAAGTGCGGATGGATGGTCGAGGCGGATAGCAGTGATGGCAGCTCGATCAGCGGGAGGACATGTGCAGTGCGCGTGAATGCCAAAGAAGATGGCGGGCGGATGAGCATCGAGCACTGTGCGCCTTCTTGCAATGAACAAGCAGTCCCTCTTTGTATGTCAGCGCGCAAAAGAGTCGAGGATGGCGTCAATTAAGATGCGAGGTGAAGTCGTGAGTGTGATGTCCCGCTCCTCAAAGCGAGGTTCGGCAGCGCGGCGCGGCGCGGCGCAAATATACGCTGTGCAAGTGCGAGAAGCGCGTGCAATCTTGTTACTGTTGCGTTGCGCAAGGCGTTGAAGAGCGAGTGGTGATGGTCGAGTGGGCAACGAAGTGCGCGACACCAGTCAGCGCATACATGGCATGAGATCGCAGTCACAGTACAGTCAAGAGTTGATCATGAGAGTTGAGGTGAGAGTCGAGACAAAATCTCAAGTCACGTGCGGTGTATCAATCACGTGGATTTTGAATCAAGAATCTGCGCACGACCGTCAACGTGTGGAGCAGCATGATCTTAGAATCACGTGACAGTTCATAGAGTCGCGTCGACCCCAGTACGCGGACGCGCACGCGCACGCGCACGCGCACGCGCACGAAAGCGTGTTGGTTGGTTGGGTGTTGCTTGCAGGCGAGGCGAGGAGGGGTGTTGCGTGTCAAAGTGTCATCCTGCTTGGCAGATATGCGGTGTGCAAGGTCGATGGAGCGTGCTGCGCGTACATGCGTGCTCTGCAGTGAGTGAGTGAGTGAGTGAGTGAAGCGTGTGGTGGAGGGGATGTGAGTGGATTGAGTCAGTCACAGTCACAGTGAATGACTTTGAAAGCTTCGTCAGGCGTCAACTCGACTCGCGAGTGTGAGTGGAAGTTGAACTCACGCGCACTCCCACACGCACTCCCACACGCGCACGCGCACTCCCACACGCACTCCCACACGCACTTGACTTGACTTTTGCATCATCACCTCCTTCCATCCGCAAGGCAAGCGTAGCTGATGTTGCATTCCTCCAGCATTTGCGCCCACCGTCACCTTCAAGACCGTCGAGATATAGTGGCCAGCTGATACAAGACAGGCTCACTCCAAGACAAGCTCATTATGCCTGCCGTGCCAGAGCGAATCGCGGTGAGTTTGAGTTTGGGGAGGGCTGAGGAATGCGCAAAAGTGGGGATGCGTGTGGCGGTGATGGAGCAGCATGTGTGCACATCAAACACTAACACTCGCGCACCCGCACGGCTGATGGATCAGGTGAGCGATACTGCATCTCTTCGACATCACTTTGACGATCTGAGCATCGCGCTGGCAGAACCCGAGACGGAAAGTTCTTGGCAGAGATTGGATCGGGCATTGTTGACGTTGGAAGCCATCACAAAGGGTGGAGCTTACAAGTTGGAAGAGTATGTGCCCAGATTAAAGGCCATTGCTCACAATATCTGCCATGCGGTGAGTGGCATGCCGTGTCATGTGCGCGTGCGTGGCGGGGCGGGGCGCGCTGACACCTGACACCTGCCCTGTGCACTGTGCCCCCTCTGCCTACCGCCCGCCCCCTCTGCCTGCCCCACAGCTTCTATCGGACAGAAGCAAATTATCGGGCACAGCAGCCGATCTGCTCAATTCCGTCGCCCCGCGCCTAGCAGACCGATTCGATTCGCTGGTCTCCTGCTTTCTGCCTTCGCTCTTGCAACTATGCGCTCGCACAAACAAGGTTCAGCACAGTCGAGCTCGCAAGACGTTGCTGCTCATCGCCAAGCACTGCAAATTATCCTCCCTCTTGCCCCTTTTGCGGGAATGTAGCAGGGACAAGTCCAATGCTCTGAGAAGCGCTTGCGTCGAGTGCGCCGCTGTGCTGCTCGAGAGCTGCGAGGGCGATGCGGGCAGGATCGGTAGGAGAGTGGCAGAGGTGGAATTGCTGGTGAAGAATTCGGCTACGGATGCCAATGTGGAAGTGAGGGCATTGAGCAAGCGCTTGTTCGCCACCTATGTCACCCTGTGGCCCGAGCGTGTAGAGAGGTGAGTAGGCCAGCCAGCGGGCAATGCCATGCAATCATCTGCCGCTTCCTTTCGCTTCGCTGATCAGACTGTGGGGAACGCACGTGATGCGGATTTTGGCATGTGCACAGCTTCACTGCACCTTTTACTCCCACGATCAGACGATACTTGGCATTGCCAAAGACGGGCGGCTATGTGCCTCCTCAGCTCAGCATGCCCGCTCTACGCTCCAGCGCAGCCTCCGATGGCCCCATGCTCGAATCCGAGTTGCGTGCTGGCAATCCTACACGAGCGGCATCCATCGCGGATTCGCCCAAGAAATCCCTGTCTCACAGTCAGGCAAACAACGGCTTGAGATTCGTCAAGGAAAGAGCAAATCACGCTACGGTAGGAGCTGCAATGTCGAGCGTAGGTGGTGCGCAACATGCTCATCATCATCAACAACAACAACAGCAACACGCATTCGTGCCTAGCGCATCCACCAATCTTAATCACAAGAACTGGAGTGCCCAGTCGCAGAGCTTCAAAGCTTCTCATGGATCAGGTCTGAACGTCAAGGTGCAGCAACTCGCCCCTACTGCAGCAGCATCATCGGCAGGACCAGACACGTTTGGCCGATCAAAGACCATGTTTGCCCTTCCCAGCAGCACGTCCGATGCCACGTGGAACGCGAACATGACGCAAGCGTCGTACCCTTTCATGCCCAGTCAAAGTCAACAATCTCAATCTCTGTTGAATGCGCAATCTCAAGCGTCTGCATCTGCATCTGCATCTGCTGTACCTACTGCTCCGCTCTTTGCGCTTGGTGGAAGCACCTCCTCCTCCGCCCTCTTTAGCGCATATGCCCAATCCTTTGGCAAGCATGCTCGAACGCACAGCAATGCGACGGGTGCAGGTGCGGGTGCAGGTGCGGGTGCAGGTGCGGGGATGGAGCAGCAGCAGCAAATGCAGCAAATGCAGAATAGACCCGCAGCTCAGCGCAGCCAAACGACAGCAGAGCCTGGCGCTCATGCGCAGCTCGTCCGTTCGGAAAAGATGCGCGGAAGGGAGCTGACGGCGTTGGGAGAGGATGGGGGTGGGAGTGAAAATGATAGGATAAACATTCCCGCGACGTCGACAGAGAGGCAGCAGATTCAGATTGCAGATGGACAAAACACACCTCCATTGTTGCAGGAATGGAATACGACTGCTTCCGTTTCTGCTACTGCTACTGCTTCTGCGCCGGCTACCTCTTTGGCAAGTAGGACGCGCGTGCAAGATGCCATAGCCCAAGCACCCCCAACGGCAACATCAACAGCGGCACTAGCGTCATCCGCAGCCATCGATGCGCCCGGTCCACACCGCCCAAAGGCTTCTAGAATCCTGCTCAGTGCGGTGCAACCCAGCACGGTCGTTCGATCTGCCCAACCCTCAGCAATTAGAGTGCACAAGACTTTGCCCATCTCCAAAGCAGCAGCAGCAACAGCAGCGTCGACGACGAGTTTGCAACAGGAGACGATTTTGCTCGTGGAGAGTGGGGAAAGCGAAAGTCCTACGGTGCTGCGCGAGGCGAATTTGCAGAGCAGAAAAATCAAAGAGGAACGCATGATTGGAGAAGGGGTGGGATTGGAAGTGCAAAGCGAAGCTGATGCGCAGCAGCAGCAGCAGCAGCAGCAGCAGCAGCAGCAGCAGCAGCAGCCACGACAACAACAAGAACAACATGCAGAGACGATCGGCATGAAGCAAGAGCTGAGCGCGGAAGGGCAAGTAGACGAGGCCGAAATCGAGCGTCGTGTCGACTTGCCAATCTGCGAACATTCTGCTGCGCATGTGCAAAGCCTCGACGAAAAGAGCAAGAGTGAGGTTGCGAGGGTGCATAGAGCACGCGAAGCGCCTCCAATTGGCAAGGTGACGAGCTCCACCTCCAAAGCTCTTGCGGGCAAAAGACGAGCGTTGGGTCCTTCGGCTGGAATAGCCGCACGAGCTGCATGCAAAGTCGGAGCCGGACATGCGCGCGAGAACGGTAAACGAGCAGCGCTTGTGAGTGCCGCTGCTGCCGGTGGAATGTCTCGATCTGAAAGTGGCAAGAATGTGGATAGGAAGGAGGTGGAGAAGGATGTTCGACCACACTCGCCGAATAAAGTCAAGACGCAACGTCCTGCTGCTGCTGCCAATGCTGGTGCTGCAAGCAAGGGCGCTTCCGCACTCAATGCCTCGGCCAACGTTCGACCGGCTACGAATAGCCAGGTCAAAGCTTCTGCAGCGACGAGCAGACCACCTCCCAGCACCTCCAACGCCTCTGGTAGGAGAGTGGTCAGCGCTGTTCCGCCCTCTTCTAGATTGACCAATAGTCTTGCTGCGAGCACGAATGGCAGCGGCGGTGCGCGAGAAAGGTTGACGGCTAGCGTGTCGGGTCGACCAGCGGGCGCGCAAGCCAAAGTTCAAGCTCCACTTCCCGCTGCTGCTGCTGCTGCTGCTGCAGCATTCAAATCGAATGGCACCTCTAACGGCGCTAGCATTGCGAGCTCCAAGCAAGCGCAACTACCCGCTACAGCTGCACCTCGCACAAAGGGCTTGCCGAGCTACATGCAACCTACTGTAGCTTCTGCGCGCACGACGACGAGCAAAGCTGCTCTGTCCGCTTCCACCTCCACTGTGCGAGGTGCTCCTCTGATCAAACGAGCAACGGCGACAGATGTGCGAGGCAAGAGTCTGAAGGACAAAGCGGTGCTTGGACCTGGACCTGGACCTGGACCGCCCATCTCTGGACGTGCGAGGGGTCACGCTTCCACGCTCTCGGGTGAGCAGGAGGAGTCGCAAGCAAGAAAAAACACAAAGGGCAAAAGTTTGCGTCCTTCGCAGAGAGCTGCTATGAGGTTGGCAGCTGCTAAAGCCAGCGCGGCTTCTTCGCCTGCCAAAGGAGCTGCATCCGCAGCTGCTACTGGCGCTGAAGGTCAAAGCATGCAAGGCTCGCCCGCCAAGATGCAACAAGAACAAGAGCAGATGCGACGTGATGCTGATGTGCAGAAGGAGGAGCATAAAGTGTTGGAAAAGTCTGAAAGGCGCGATGATGGGCAGGTGGAGGAGGAATTGAGAGAGGCGCTGCAGAAAGCTCTGGGAAATGTGGCGGCGGATCCTAATGGAGATGCTCAGGACGATGTCGAGGTGCTTGGCGAGGCGCAAGCCGTACTTGCACCTGCGTACGAGCATGAGCATCAGGCACGAGCGGCTCGGCAGGAAGATGTCGAGGCTGTCACGCTTGCCGAAGGGGAGCGAGAGGCGGTGGAGCCTGTCGAAGAAGTGAACAATCCGGAAAGTGTAGAGGGTGAAGAGCAGGCAGGCAATGTGGACGAGGATCTCGCCGACTCGCAGACGCACGAGGAGGTGATTGAGGAGTGCAGCAAAGACGAGCTAGAGCAGGAGAGCATTGCTCATGAGGCGGTGTTGGAGGAAGGCGCGCCGCATTCGCTTCATGAAAGCGAGGAAGCGAAAGCAGAAGCAGAAGCAGAAGCAGAAGCAGAAGCAGAAGCAGAAGCAGAAGCAGAAGGCGACTTGCTGGAAGAAGAGTTGAATTCTGCAGCTTGCCGGTCTCCGACAGAGTCGCAAGCGCCGTCAAAGGTCGGTACTCCTTTCAATCCTCGAGCGACGGTGCGTTCGGCCCGCACCAGTCCGAGCAAGAGCAAGTCCAGCACGCCCTTTACACCACACAGAGTGGACAGGTGCCTCAATAGCTCTCCTATCAAAGCTTCGGGCACGACCGCTTCTGGAAGAAGCGCAAGACCTCTCCCTCGATCAGACGACGCCCCTCGAACGCCCTTGGCTGAGCTGAATACGTCCGCAACGTCTCCGAGACACGCTTCGCCAGAGAAGGAAAGGAAGAGCAGCGTGGAGGCGATCAAGGTGTTTGCGAGAGCAACACCTTCCCCTAGCAAAGCCCTCGCAGCTCTCAGACTCGCCCGCACCTCTCCTGTCAAAATATCACCGAACAAGAAGGAAAGCGCTGCTGCCTCGAGACCCGTCTCGCCCATCAAGCAAGCACAAGAAGCAACATTGCCCCACTCTAGATCATCCTCGCCCATCAAGCTCTCATCGCGCACATCCTCTCCCTTGCGTCGAGCAGCACTAGCCAACGTCTCCATGTCCTTCTCTCAAACGTCTGCGCGTGCCTCTATCGCCCATTCTCCCCTGCGCTCCAACTCCATCTTGGGCGCAAGAGCTGGAGAAATGGTGCGTAACGACGACGACGACGGCAATGATGCTAGCCTTCTTTCCGAGCGCGAGCGCGAGCACGAGCGCGAGCGCGATCACCGTCATCATCATCATCATGACGATTCAATCGCTGGCGCTTACGATTCGGATATATGTCCCGAAGATTCCATCGACCTGATCAAAGTCTCAGCGCTCGTCTCTACTCCTCCTCTCCTCTCCAACCCTTCTGCTCCACCTTTACCGCTCAAGCAGCGCAACGTCGACTCTTCGCCTCCTGCTGCTGCTGCTGCTGCTGCTGCTGTTGTTGGCAAGTTGCAAAGTCCCACAAAGGAGGCCGCGCGAGGGTCTGATGGGGTAGTACAGGCACAGGAAGAGGAGAATGAAGAGCCTGGACGGATGCGAGGGGAGCTAGAGCAAAGAGAAACATTGCCTAGTCCGCCGCTGCCGGCTATGAGGAGATCTGCTAGGGTGCGCAACAAACCCGCTACGCTGCGCACTTGATGCGCCGCAGGCTCTATGGACCCCGCATTTCATCATTCAAAACTCCGATCATTTCCAAATCCCCCCC